GTCATAGCCATATGGGGGATTGTGATAGCACTCTGTTGATGTGTAACAGTGACTCTGATGATACATATTAACTGAGAATGCTATGTATGATTGTGTTATGCAAGTATTGATTAAAAACAGGAGATGGAGGCAGAGAGAGGCAGCGAATTGTGGATTGTATAAACATCTCTGAGAAGGTTACTGGCTGGCTAAATAGCAAGGAAAAGTCTTAAACCGAAAAAGGTCTTAAAAGATCTGAGTCCATGAATCTTCCAATAGTTCATTAAGATACATGCATGTTCAAAACATTGATATAGTCTGTAGATAGTAGATAGTCTGATTACTGCTAAATTTCCAGAAAAAAAATAATATCCATGCACCTGAACACGTCCAGAAACAGATCCAGAAATCTATTTGGTTTGGATCAGTTCTGTAAGAATTGTCTTAAAATAATTTCACTAGTATACTCATCAACCTTCATGACTGTGATGGCCCTGAATTCCTATCCCTAATTCACACAGAAATACCACTTATCTGAATTGAGAAAATGCATGTCCAAAGACATGTACAGATTCATGTTGCAAATTCTGATTAGAGTTTTATTGAATCTGGATTTTCTGTTTCACAGAGTTTTCTGTAATTCTGAGACTTCTTTTGGTTGGGAATTAGAACAATTTGCTAAACTTGGAAATGATGTATAGAAACTATTTTTTGAAATACTTGTTTTAGATTTGTTAAAACTGTACTTGCAGTATCAAGCTCTCCTACTGTGAGGTGTTAGTATCACTGTCTTCTTGACCCAGGATGAAATAGCTGTCCCAGATTTTGCTGCTGCATTGGAGTAATAACATCATGGGGAATCTTTCCTCGTGTGTTCCACAGTAAATCTGTATGTACCTCATACATGTGATGGAAGGGACTGACCCCTAACAGACTCTAGTACCTTAAAATACTATTGCTATGCAAAGTCAGATCAATAATAAGAGATGGGTTAAAATCAGCAGAAGCCTTTGGCTTGGTATCTTGGTTTCTCAACAATAGGAAAAGTATTAATGAAGGTGCTTTATTCTTTAACATGAAGGAACAATGGATGCAAATTACCATCCATTTCTTCCCAATATAGGCAGGCATGTGTGTGCAGATGTACATAAAACTCAACACATATGCACCTCTTATCAGTAGTTGATTCATTGTATTTTTTGAATGGGGTTAGGGCTGACCATTAAGTGGTGCTGTCAAGATGTATAGCTGATCACTAGGGAATATCTGGTGAAAATCACAAAGCATTCATACCATGTTCATTCATGTAGTTTAGTTTCACTTATGGCTGTACCATTTGTCCACCCAAATTCTGTAGTGGTGATAGGAGGGTTTGAGACTTTATTTCCCACTTCTCTCCTCCCTCCTTTTATTTCTTTTCTCTCATTTTCCCTCCTGATCCCCTACTTCAACCCCCCCCAACCTTTTTTTTTTTTTTTTTCCCTTCCCCATGGCTGATGGATATGCAGAGTATGTTAAGAAGCAAGAAATACTGTCACCGAACTGATGGTGTTCAGTGACTCTTCGAGCTCTTGGCTGGTCTGTACTGCAGGAGCTTGACACCCTGACCAGTGAGGCATAAAAAACAGAGAATTCGAAGCCTCAGTCTGACAGGCACTAGAGCATCCCCCAGAGAGGGACTAAGATGTGTGTGTGTGCACGTGCAAAAGGAGGTTGGGTAGTAGAGATAGTGGGGGGAGGAGAGCAAGGCAAGGGAGAGCGAAACAATGAAATGTCAGCTTGTTTCCACTAGTAGTCATGCAGCAGTGCTGCCAAGTATTTAAGAAGTGCTACTGCCTGTTATGCATGGCATAGACACCTGGTAGACAGCATTTCTCCCAATACCTCTTGAGAATGGGACATGGGAGCAGCTAGTGAAAATGGGAAAGGCAGGGACAAGCTGGGTGAATGTGCTGAGGTGCCATAGTGGGACATGTTGTCCTCTTTTCAGATAAGCGTTGGGGGTCTTTCCTTGGGGTGCAGGGCAGCATTGTACTGCTTTGTTCAAAATCTAGGAGGTCCATACCCTTGGCCAGCAACCGGGATGGGTGGCTGTCCTGTCTATTTTGTCCTTCTCGTCCTTAGATCATGCAGCTCCTAGAGAAAGTGTGGTAGCGAGGCTCCCTCACATCAGTTTATGCATGTGGTGGCCAGGTAGCAACAGCAAGGTGGGCTGTACACCTTGTGCCTGCTCTTGTTTTTCATCTATGCATCTGTGAAAAACTGGAGAGATGTCAACGAATATATTATCCATTTTCATAATCATCCTGCCCCTCTGCAATTAAATTGTTTGTTAGGTCCTTGCATTTCTCCCTACCTCAAAAGAAAATTAAAAATAAATTTAAAAAATGAAATAATTGATAGAATCAAAGGATTTTTATGCAGCTCACACTGCAAGGAAGGTTTGGCTTTTAGTCTTAAAGGGAAGGAAATGTGCACATTGTTCAACCATGATGCTACTAACTGTTTCGCTCTCCATGTGCTTTGTTGCCTTGAGCAAACAATAGTAGGACAGATCTAGGTCAAAGATGTGGTAAAATCCCAGCTGAGGATGGGTAATGAGGTCATAAATTGGGACTGGTTTATCTGAGAAAACTGTCTTATATGCAGTAGTAGGAACCCAGAAGCAGGGATCAAGAAAGGGAACTTTTCTGGAAGCAGAATAGACTTGGCTGTTAAGGCATTTTTATCCGACAGGAAAGGTCACTCTCTGACTAGAAGAATTGAGACACCTTTGCTAGTAGTGCTGGTATTTCAAATCACTACTGTATACCTATGAGTCACAGCTCCTCTTGGTGACTTTCATGCCTACCTTGTAGTCCTTGGGGAGGTAAAAGAAAGCGGTAGAAATTATGATTTAATGCAGGCTAGCCACTTCTATTCCAGAAATCTTCTTCATGCCTTCATTGTTTTAGCTGCCTGTTCTGCTTGCTGGTGAAGCCCTCTGACTACAGCAGACATCCTCTTCTCCCTTTCCACTGTCCCAGCTCTCCCAGAAATTCTTACTATCTTTTCTGTCTTTGCTGTCTCCACTGTGCCTCATTCATTTAGGAAACAAGAGTGAGCATTTTAACAGAGTTAACCTTTAGGCACTGATGTCATCCATCATCTGAAAGGACAAGGAACATAAATTGAATGTTCATACTGTGTATTTCTGCAGAAAGTTGGAAAGAGATCTGTTTTCAGTGGCTCACCATGTTTAATAGTTTTTGTTTAGAAGCAGTAATGAAAGCCCACTCTGGGCTTACAAAATGTGGTTAGTAGAAATGTAGTTGAAACATAACAATATTATGGAATAGGCAATTAACAACCTTACCTTCAGCATCACAAATCTTTGTTTCTCTCTTCTGTTCCATGCAACAGAACCTTGAACAGTCACTGTGGAACAGCTGCAGCAGCGACAAATAACCTCTGAGTTTCTCATGTCTGGAAAAGACCCTGAGAAACAGAAATACTGCCAGGATGAGATATGTGGTGCATCTAGCCCAGTGCCACAGATCTGCCAAGTCCAGTTCCAACTGCTCTGAGAAAGATCTAGAGAGTTTTGCCTGAGGAGACTTTGGATAAGCTACCCACAGTTGGTCATCTTCAGATCACTAGAGAGAGACAGCTAAAAACTATGAAGCATGAGGTTTAATCTTTCTTTCAAAATGACTGTTTCTACTGGGATTGATTGCTTCAGTGCTAGGTAAAGCTGCTGTTTTTAAAGATATTGGGATCCTTCCTGAAGCTTGATCTACGTTGAATTACAGTCCACTCCATGACTTGGAGATGACTGTACATGTGCTTTTTTCTATAGGCTCCAGATACCCTCTGCCTCCTTGCCCTTTCAATCAATGTTGCCTTGAGTTACATGAAAGAGAGCAGGTCTCAGACAGATGGGTACAATACTGTGGGTCCCAAAAAGCATGGGGAACAACAGAGGAACAGAACGTTATCAAAGAGCCCTGTAGACTGAGAAGTTGCTCTCTTTTTACTGAAAGGGCATGCATGGAGGCCAGATACTACTGGGCCTAACTGGGCCTGTCCTTTTCTTTTGTTGCACATACGTATTTTTTCTATCTTGTCAGAAATACATTTGTAGATAGTCAAACCAACTAGCATTGCTATACACAGGAGGTGTATTAACCCATTTAACAAGAGCATGTGTGCAAAATCACCTGTGCAGACTAATCATGAACTGCCAGTGTAACTCAGAATGTTTGTGCCTTCCCAATGATAATCAAAAACATTAGCCCTCCATCTGGGTCAGTGAGTAGTGGCCATATCTTAAGTAGTGGAGGCCACTTACTATCTCAGGAAAGAAGTCACAGTCCTTGAGTCAGTTTTATCAGGTGTGCAAGGGCTGGTTACTGTGTGGAGCATTGCGCCTGGGAGAACTTGTTGCATCTATTTGCAGTTGCAAACATGGGGTTGATCTGGTCTTTAGCTGGTAAAAACTCAGCTAGTAATACTTAGCTAGGAATAAAAGCTAAGAATAAACTAAGAGTAAAAAGATGTTCTCAGCCCAATAGTAGGTTTTCTTTGAGAGGCTGGGATGGTATTCAATATGCAAGAAGTTAACTAATCCTTGCTCTCTTTGCATTATAAAGCCTGAGCAGCTGAGTCCTAGTATTCAACTTTATGCCATGAGTCTCACAGAGCCATAAAGGCAAAGATCATCTCAGATATGTCACCAAACTCCTCTCTATTACCCCTAATTTTGGTGTTCCTGCAATGTTCCTGTTAGGCAGCGAGCTGCATGAGAAAAAACAGCCATGCAGCAAGCATGGGTTTTGATGTGAACAGAAGCGCAAAAGACAATGCCCTTTCTTTTAATGATGTGGCCATCAGATTCTTCTTCAAAGAGGGTGACCAGTAGTGGTTTTACAAAGCCCTTCACTAGGGCACATCATGTGCTAAATTGCTTTCACCTCACCAAATAGTAACAGTTCTCTTACTTCAAATATTTTGTTTTTTTGTCTTTTTTTCCTTCAATTTAGGGAGTGAGTTTTCTGGGAGTCCATACAGCCATCCGCAATATTCAACATACAATGACTCCTGGAGATTCCCCAATCCTGGACTACTGGGTAAGTGCCCTACCTCACCTCCCAAGTGTGTCTCTGTGTGTCACCAGCAGGGCCATTCTAGCGGGCAGAACAGGCTCTTGTCTATAACCTTACTGTGGTGCTTTGGTTATCAGTGGCAAGCATATCCTAGGACAGCCTTGTATGGCAGTGCTGGCCCTGGTGAGTGACTTCAGATATTCTTCAGGGGATGTTGGTTCAGTTCACTTGCACGGCCAGAGACCACATGCACAAGCCTACTCTCTTCCCGCTTCTGACCTGTGCAGTCGGTAGACAGAGGGAAATACAGGACCAGAAGACAGGACTCCATTTGGTTTATTTTATTTTATTTTTTTACGAGATTAAGGAATGCTGCTCATACAAATCCTGCTGATGGTTCTCACTACATAAAAATAAACAAACAAAAAAATCCAACTCCCCACATACTGTCTCCTGGGATTTGTCAAATATGCCAACTTCTGGAATACACTAAATTGCTTATAGCCAAATGTAAAACCTACCATTCCCTCCACTGTTATTTTCTTGCTCATTCTATGTTCCATACCTGGGTCTCAATTTTGCTTTTGCTTTGGAATTTAGACTTTCCTTCTGCAGGAAACCCTGGTGCCTGTGCTGTCTCACTGACTTGTGTGCAGTTTCTCACAAGCAGTGGGGGTTAGGAGTCATGTGGTTTGCGCAGGATCATGGCCCTCACATGAAGGATAAATATAATCCATTTTACACACTGTCAAAAGATGGCCCACTTTGACCTTATATACATGTAGAACGCAGTAATTAGAATTTTTCCTTGCATAATTTATATGGATGAGGTAAGTAAAATACCAATTAATTGTCATCTCTCAACACAGGGGTAGCATGCCTTAGAGATTTCTAGATTTATGGATGACAGGGCTGTTATCTGTGACCTCCAGCAGAGAAACAATTTTGAATTTTTGTCACTTTTTTTTTAATCCATATTCTTTGTTTTAAGTAATTGATTCCCTATGTAATTGAGCCACCCAAGCTGTATTCATCATGGTTCTTGCCCTTAAACAAATCCTTTGGGAGTAATAGACAGCCTCTACCTTCTATGCCACGATACTGGTATAATACTGCCATTTGCAGCACCACATTTAAGGGTTTGTTAGTACTTACATCATAAATCAGTGAACATATCTTCAGCCAATATAAATAGGCATAGCTGCACAAAGGCCAGAGGAGGCCTGTGTGCTTAAACCAATAGTTTCCTTGAATGCAGCTTGGAGTGTTTATGAGTTTTTGGTTTGTCTTTGTGAAGGAAACCAAATTCTCTGAGCGTATAGAGGCATTTTTAAAATTATTTTTATTTGTTTTATTTTATTTTATTTATGACACTGCTCTAGAAGTAAGCACTGGAATGAGTTTCCAGAACTGCTGGAACTGTTTTGTTTCCAGTAAGACCACATCTTGAATTCATTGCCACAGATTCATGCTCGCATGGGAAAGGAATTATTCATTTGAATAAGCACAGCAATTCCTCAGTTTCTGAGACTGAACAGCTGCCTTTCAACTCAGATATCAACAAGTAATGTGAACAACATAGCAGACTAAGGCTAACCAGATTTGGTACTTATAAATACTCAGAACTTGCTGGCCAGATTCCAAGGCAGGGTAAATCCATGCAAGGCTTTGAAGCCAGTGAACATGGGGAGATCCATAGTGGAAAAAGTTAAACACTTGACTTTAAAGAGAATGCATTTTAGGAATTAGCCTTACTTTCAGCTGTACTGTTTCCTTTTTCCTTTTGTTTTTCTTCTCATACTTCCTCTTTTTATTATTTCTTCTTTTTTTTGTATTAAAAATTTGAAGGGGAAAGTCCTGTTCCTTTTCCAGGTGTGTGGAAGGAGCAAAATATAGGCATGGCTAAAATGAATTCATACTGCCCACAGTAAGGTAAATGGACTGAAAAGCCCATTTCTTGTGCTATTGAGAATTTATATGGAAATATTTACTCAGGAGCATGCTATAACCATGTATTTAAATGAAATAAGGACAAAAAGATTTGGATGGTACAACAATACTACTACTTTTTGCTGGCAGAAGTTGTTAAAATATATCAACTTAACTCTTGTTTTTATCGTATCTGAAATATTTTGTTTTAATCTTTTCAAAAATTCCTGTTTTCGTAAATACAAACTTAAGTGTGGCAAATATAATGTTACATTGTTGGGGTGTATTATGATATACTAACTTAGAATTACCAGACTGAAACCTTTGAGTGTGGCAGAAATAAAAGGAAATGTATCGAGGTACCTTTGGTACATTTGCCTTTAGATCTTGGTATCTTACATCTGTACCAAGGTCTAAAGGCAAACTTTTCATTCCAGTTCGTCATGACCACGACGTATCAGCAAATGATGGGATTTCTTATAGAGCTTGAATGTCATAGTCAGATCACTGATGGTTTTAAAATATCTGTACCACAATACTATTGACATAATTGCAGGTGCTGCTTGGTTAAAAGGTGCCAAAATTCTTATCTCTGTGATAGATTGCTATCTGTTTTATGGTATGCATTCGGAGAACAAGGTTTAGATTGAGTTGATCTTTGATATTCCCTTTCATCTTAAGCCTTCATGGCAGAAAAGCACCAGAAAATAAAATGCAGGTAGGTTGAAAAGTCCATTTGCTTTAAGTCAACATCATGCAGATGTTGCAATGGTCCTTCACCTAACATCTAATTCTGGAAAGACAGCCCACTAGCCTACACTAATTTAGTTTTAGGGAACAAACTCAGTAAGCTTGGGCTATGCTTGTTGGAGGGCCTAATATCCACTTTGGGCCATAATGTGCAGGACAGATGATAAATTTTCCTGTCCCTGCAGGGACTGGACAAGGGTCAATGGGTTAAAGTTGAAACACAGGAATCCCATCTCCATGTGAGGGAGAATTTCTTTCCTGTGAGGGTGATAGAGCCCTGGAACAGGCTGCCCCCGGGAGGTTGTGGAGTCTCCTTCTCTGGAGGTCTTCAAAGCCACCTGGATGCCGCCTTGTGCCCCATGCTCTGGGTGTCCCTGATGGAGTAGGGAGGTTGGACTAGATGATCTCTAGAGGTGCCTTCCAACCGCAACCCTTCTGTGAATCTTTGAGTCTGTAAGTATGCTTACTCAGACTTCTAGTTTTATGTTTCAGAGTCTCAACTTGCTCCCTTCTTTGCCTAGTTATACCTAAACTCAACAGTAATTCAAGACATCTGCTGCAGAATCTTAAATATCTCTTCCAAACCTCCTTGGAGACCCAAAAGGCTCTACCAGGAATTTGTCCTATACAGGATATCCAGAACAGGGAGAGGAGGGCGAGAAGAGTAAAATTAATATGTATCTAGGATGCTTCTCTTCTTCCAAGGAGTTTATCCGAGTGCATGTGGTTAATTCTTTCTTGAGAGCAACCTCTGGCAATATCAGCTTCACAGCAGAAGCATTGACAAAATTAATCAGGACTGGTACATGGGCTGACACAGTTTGTTTTCCTAAGTCTCACTCCTTTCATGGAAATGAAAGTGTAGTACAGTAAGTGGTTAACACAGCCCACATTCAATTAATTCTCTGCACTGGCAAGGAAGAACTGTGCTGTAGCAATCACACCAAGCTGATATTTGTCAAAGAGGAACTTCAGAGGGATGCAATGATTTGCTAGTGGCATGAAGAAGGGATATTGAGGCTGAAAAATAATTGTGGAGAGAGGTTAGAAACAAGAAAGCAATAAAGATAGGAAGAAATAAAGGAATAAAGAGAAGAATAAATAGTACAAAGATATTAGTTATTAGTCCTCCATCATTTTCTTCTAAGAATGCAGCAGCAGTGAAAAGCGTTAGTCAGTTCCTCCACTGGAGGGTATAATTATAGTCTCAAATCATCCTGCTCATGCAAAGTAGCAGAGCAGGATGAGCTATCTCTCTCTTTTTTTTTTTTTTTTTTTTTTTTTTTTTTTTTTTTTTGTGCATGCTTTGCTCTTGCTCTCTAGTACTCCCTCTTCTTACTCTCCAGAAAACTCATCCATGGATGCTCCAGGGAGATTTCTAATTGATGCAAAAGAGTGACCACTTGTCCTGTGACTCCCGGATCTGAATGCAGTGCCCTATAGCTTTTGTAATAGCAGAAACGACCAAATTGAAGTCTTTGGAGTGGTCAAAAGAAACAAGGACAAAAGAAGAGTTGTAGAGATCATTTTTACCACCTGCAGCATCTACCAGCGGCAGTAGACCCTAGTTATATCAACAACTTCTTCTGCTGTAGAGAAATTCAGCATTTGCTCTGTTTCTGCCTATATTGGCCTGCTGTAATTTGATGCTGTGCTGACTTCAGCAAGGCTGATGATAGTCCCCAAGTTTTCACAGGACTATACTGGGAAGATGTTATAAATGCATTGTGTCCCTCTCGGTGGGATAATACCTAGATATCCCCATGTAATGGGGGGAAGCAATAGCAGGAGTTAGAAAAAGTGGCTTAGTTTCCACTGTGTTGTTAATAGTCTGAAACTGCTGTGATAAGGGAATAGAGAGACACAGGTGTGCACACCAACATGCAAAAGGGCAAGGATGTGCACACGTAAGGTTCAGTCTGTTGCTGACAGCATGGCCTGATGAGCTTTCCTGATTAAAGTCTACTTAACACAAACAAGGTAAAGGTAGATAATAGGAACACAGCATAATGAAGAAAAATGATTCAATTTCTTGCTAGTTTGCTCTAAGACATCTTTACCATTTTCACTCATTACTTTCCACTTGATGTTGATCACGGGAGATTTTGTTTGATGCACAGTTCTCTTTTCTGAATTTATATGATTTGTGTATGTTGTGAAATTTAAGTGAGTCTGACAGGATTCCTTTTTAGATACACCTGAGCTATCTAGCTGTTGTTACAAGAGACAGGGTCATTAGACTGTCAGTATTGACATGGCTTCATATGAAAGGAAAGGGTTTGGAACCAGTCAATTAGGATTAGATTCAGTTCTTCTGTGGGTTTCTGTAAAAAAGATTAGAGAACAAATAGGAGCCAGAAATGACTATGTCAAGAAATAAATTGATGATAATATGAATTAGAAAGGGAAAATGACAGGAGAAGGGACAAGTCTATTCTAGATGTGGGTGTAATGACAGGGAGAAAGAATAAATGTTTTGTGATGTGACATTTTCATTCTTCACTTTAAATACAAGCTTTTTTGATTTCACTACTGAAATGTGAGCTGGAAAAATCAAACTCAGAAGAAATATTGGGCCATTGGAAAGTGTCAGAGGAATACTGAACTTGTATAGCAACACTTAATCAGAACAGTAATGGAGAAGAATGGAGGAGAAAAAGTAAAACGTAGACTTCCATCTAAAAAGACACTACTTCCACTGAAATCCTCGGGAGCCACTGACTTTCCTGCTGACTAGACCCACATATCTTCTGTTATTTGGAACTTGTTCATTTGTTAAATAATGTTTGATTTGTTGCCTGAGCTCTATGTGCTTCTGTCTTAATTCAGCTTACATTGATTCATTGGCATTATTACTCAAATTTATAAGGTTATTCTATGGGGTCCTGTGGCAGCTCAGCCTTGGCCAGGAACTGGAGTTTCTGCTAGTGGACACACCTGTAAGTGGGCTATCATGAGTATGTGGTCCAAGACTTGCATTTCTGTGTTTGATGAAGAAAGAAATTTCACCTAAATCTTCAAGGGCTTACATTATCTTTTAAGGCTACACACTGTCTTGCTCCATAACAGGGGACTTAATTGCAAGCACTGTCTCCAGTTAACTACTGAGAAGAGGAAACGTGTCTCAATTGTTTTTCTTTTTTCAGTCATCTTTTCTTTCATGCAATGCTTGGTATGTTATGTGATGAGGTGAAGAAGTAATTTCTCTTGCTGTCATTCACATACAAACAGCTTTGCACTAAACATTCTGAGCTCTCATTTTAAGGAATATTCATATTTCTTGTGATTCTATGAAATTTCTTGTGAAACGTTTCTAATAGAAAAGTCAGATTTTTTTACCATTTGCTATCCGTATATGTCCTGTATTTTCATCTAATCTATGCATTTTCTGCTTTTTTCATTTTTACATGAATTTTTAAATTCATTTAAAATAATTTTCTCATCTACTCTTAGTGCTAACATTTTTTTTTCATTTGACAAGATATTCCAATATTTTGTCTTTCTGCCCAACAGAAAACAAACTGCCAGTATTTTCTGTTCTTGGTTTTCTTTTCCTTAGTGAATTTCTTCAGAAAGAGATATTCAAGGAAGCCTTAGAATCTTCTCCAAAATATAACAGACACACACTACCATTTTAAAAGAAGGCTCTATAATCCGTGTGCCTGTCTGCAGCATATCTCTTTGTGATGCAAGAGGTATTTCTGAATAATATATTTCATTAATGCTATCTCTATCCATAAACTAAAATTAGTGTCAAGTTAATGGCATAAGTAGCTTGTCACTTTTCTGAAACCAGAGAGGATAGTGCTGCTGTTACTGATGATGGTTATGCTTTACCAAGGTCTGGAATCACAGTGTTACCTTGGGATATGTCTGTATGGTAATCAAATGTCTATATATATGGCCAAGACAGTAGTGCGGTTCTTGCTGCACCTCTCTGGATGTGACATGAAGAAATACTCTTATTATTATAGCTAAAATCCTTACAGAATTAACCTCCTTGTGGAGGTTCATTCCATGGCATTGCAATGCTCATGGCATTGCAAATAGGACCATTAGGAGGGCAATGATGAGCTTATGTTCATTTACAGAAAAGATTCGGTATATGTATGCAAACAGGATAGATGCATTTCTTTCTCTACTTAGTTTCATCCCTCCTGTCTTTTGTTTGGTAAAATTTGGTACAAAAACTGTGCACTAGGTCATCTCTGTAGGCTATAAGGAGATATGGACATATCTAGAAAGAAAGAATCTGTCTAGCTGGATATTTCTCAAAGTTTTTCTTTCTATTCACTGTCTGTAGAGGTCACCCAGATAACATCAGCTAGACCTTAAAAGTCATATATAACCTTTAAAGTCAGATGAGCTTTTAGGTTTGCCTCTGCTAACTGAAGATTGTCTAATCCTGCCAAAGATGCCCTCTGTTTTTTAATAGTTGAGTCTGACTGTGACGTACAAATGTACTGAAGTTTACTTTAAGTAAGCTGTAAAAACCATGTTTCCTGTATGTCTGAAAATGTCCAAAAATCTCCTTTGTGAAGTGTGATTCCTAAGGATGAAATTTGTTCATCTAACTGTAGTTATCTAAAGGTGTTTTTTTTTCAGTCCAGGCCTTTTGGTGCCGTTAGACGTTAGTCATTAAATATCTTTGCAACATTTTAGCTTGGCCAGTTGTTTTGATTACTATATTGGATGAATATTGGGTATGGTGTTACTATCTTTCTGGATCCCTAAAGCTTTGTTTGTCTTCCTTATGGTAAAAAAAAAAAAGGTGAAAAAAATCTTATATGTAAAAACTATAACACCATCTTCAGCTAACATTTGCAATTAAATGTCCATGGACATCATCTTAGATGTTTATGATGTTTTTCTGGCTTTCACAAAGCCAGTGACTATTTTCTCCAGTATTTTCAATCAGCATCTATTTAGTGAATCAGTTCACATGCGTGATCAAAGATGTTCATGAAAAGCTACTAGGAACACCTGCTGTCATTAGGGTCTTCAATCCATCTTCCTGTTGTGGGGCAGAATACTTGTGGAGTATTTTGTCCTCTGAGGCCTTGTCCAGATGTGTCTTTCAGAACAGTAGTTAACTGTATTACTTTATTTGGTCAGTTATCTGTTGATGCCACAGCGAATGCTCAAGCTCAAGCACAGGAGATGTATCAGTTCAGAGGGGTGGTACAGCAACGTACTATGTATGTCCAGGTGCTTGTCAGTATGTGTACCTTGCTAAACAGTGTTTGCTAGAACCTGTTGCTAGAAGCAAATCCTACAAAAAAGATTTTTTGGCTGGCTCCTTCTCCCACTTCTACTTTGCTGAATTTTCCAGTTTCTTGGGGACTGGTCTCAGTTCCAAAATGGCTTAGCTTGTTTGTCCTGGGCTCTTGTTCTTGATGCCTGCTCCATGACAGAAGAAAACAATGTTAAATTTTGTGGAAGTACTGTCTTGCCCATGAAGAGAGACATCAAGCCCAAACTCTTTCAAACATCACTATTCTATGTCAAATGGTAAACGCAGGCTGAAAACACAGCTTTTCACAGATTTTAATGGAGCCTCCCCAGAAATCAGACCTTTGTAGTCACTCTGAGATTTCAGAAGAGTCTTTAAAGCCCCATGAATGAGGCAAAATATTGGGTTCTAAGGTAGGTGAGCAGATGAGTTTCTGGAGCACAGCAACCTTTCTGAAGAAGTATCAATTCCTCTGCCATATGGTTTTGCAGAAATTGCTACATTTGTAGTAAGTCATATGGCTGGCCATGAAGACCTTGCTTCCATAACCTTAGGATGATTGTTTAAGTCCCAGTCGGGTAAAGGCAGGGAGTTGGAGTTGATGGACGGCTTTGCTGGCTGGGTTGATTGATGTGCTCACTACATACAGAAATCCTGTGATAATGTTCAGCTTATCATAATTTATAGCTTGTGATAATGCTTACTGGGAACAAAACAGTTCCCAGTGTTACTCTTCTAAACAATCCTTCCCCAGTTCCTCAGGGACTAGTTCAGAAGTATAACTCCTTCCAGGAAATTCCTTTCGCACTGCAGCATGACTTTCATTTTGTGTGTGCTAAAATCTGATGGAGACTTGGAGAGCAAAGCATCAGCTCCCTGGAAAATCATTTGCTTAACTTTGTTCTTACACAAATTTGTTACCTAATGAAAAAGGAAATTACCGACATTTTCTGAAGGCCACACTAAAAAAGGCAACAGAAGAAACTTTTTGAGAAACAGGGAAATGACTGCCAAGAAGAGGGGAGGGGGAAAAAAACCCAGAGATGTGAGAGTGATGTAACATTTAATTTCAACTTCCCATTTTGAAAATTAAATCACTGTGAAATAAATTTGACTAGCATTCTGGGTGGATGAGTGGAACCAGATATTCTGCAGCCAGCAGAAGTGTAAAGCAGCAGCAGCAGCACAGAATATAATACGATTTTTATCCAATTTTTGGTCTTTATTGCAGCGTGTCTGAATTCAAGCTGGAGATGAATCAGTGTCTGGACTTGCACTGTGTAAGCTGGTATCTCTCCACCTTTGCCTTCTTCACAGTAGTCTCTTCTCTTTCAGGCTCTCCTTATTATTACAGCGCTGCAGCCCGTGGAGCAGCTCCACCAGCAGCCACTGCTGCTTATGACCGCCACTGATCCAAGGGTCCCAGAGCTGAAGCACTTACTAAAACATATCATCCTGGACCCCGGCATCTAAAGTCATCTGCATGGAACCATGTAAGTCACACTGTAAGGGAAGAGTAGAGTATGTAGTTGGAAGATACTAACTGAAATTTTGCTTGTTAGATTGGTGAGCTTGTTTTATTCAATTTCATTTCAAATCATTAAAAATCTACTAGTTTTGACTGAGTCTTAAATGAAAAAAGGAAAAGGAAGAAATGGTTCTGCTGACACCCCATGTGTCTTGTAACAGCAGTTGCCCATTCTTTACCGCTTGCTGGCTATTGCTGCCTGCAGTCGTCAGCAGCATCTGGGGAAGGGGAACAGGTGTGAGGAGTTTTCCTTGGGATAGCCTCCTTTTGGTGCACAGCAAAACAATCTGTGTGACTTACAGTGGTTTTTTTTGTTGTTGGTGTTTTTTTTTTTTTAATTTTGGTTTAAAGAAGAATCCGCCTGCTCAATTTGACACAAGCAGTGATGTAAATAACTTGTGTTACTATGACAATGGCTTAGCATAAATGGTGACATTGTATGAAATATGAAGACAAAACACAGCTGAGAGCGTGTTTTGAAACTGGTGCACTGATTCAAAGAATTCAGTAAGCTTTAAGCAACTTTGAACCAGGTTAACACTCATTGTGGCTGTATTTTGGACTGACGTTATTTCTGTATACAGCATTCTGACAGTTGTGTATGATCATGCTTCATGCTAGTTTCAAGTACATGGGCAATCGAACGACGAGGGCAGTTTTGTGACATTTTACTGCTTAATATTCACTTATGTTCATTTGTCATGATAACAAGCACTGAAACAAATTGGTTTCAAGCTAAGCAACTTGTAAGGAAGAATTGCTAAATGATAGTTGACACCTTATGTACATCTCAATAGATTATGTGCTAAAATCCAAATATGAACATTTTGAGAGGAAGGAGGAAACATACCAAGGTATTGATTTTTTTTTTTTTTAAAGGGGATATTGAACACTGAAGCAGCCACATATGCTTTATAAAGGGGATATTGAACACTGGAGAAGTCACACATGCTTTACAAAGCAAACTGAAGAGGAAAGCACATATTTTGTGAAGTCTGCACATTTAAGCGAAAGCATGTCTCCAGTTGCTCTAATAGCACTGGTGGGGGGACAAAGGAGCTATTTTAAATTCCAGCCATTGTAGTCTACACTTGTGTCAGGGAAAAATTGGAACCACTAATTCTGTACATCTCCCCCTCTGGCTCAAATAGGGAACACTAACAAAACCAGCTGACATTTCGTTCAATGTTTTCTGCTTCATGAGGCTAATGAACAAAAGAGAACAACTTGCAAATGATCACAGAATCACACAAAATCACAGAATTATTGAGGTTAGAAGGGACCTCTAGAGATGCTCAAGCAGCGACACCTGTGGCACAGGGCTCTATCCTGGTGAATTTGCAAGATCTCCAAAGAAGGAGACTGCAATTCTTCTTTGGAGGATCCAAAGCAACTTGATATGATCCATTAAGCAACTGCACCAACCACTGCCATTTCCATGAAATCAAGAAAACTGATGATTTCTCCATTTCCTCTCCCCTACTGTGGTCCAAGGACAGTTACCTTCAGTTATATATTGGTAATGTACGTATGCCCAAGTGGCATTATGCTAAGTGCCCCCTCCGTGTGAAAGCAATGCAGAAGCTTCCTGGCAGTCTAAAAATGATATTTTTGACTTCTTCTGAAATTGCCATTGTGTTCTTTTCCAACTTCAGTGCCATGCTTTGTCTGTCCTAATAATACTGAAATACAGGCATCACTTTCAGGTGGCTGAACTATACAAGCTACATTAAAGACAACACATTAGCAGTCTGGGGAACTTAAAATACACATATCTGCCTTTCCAGTAAGTGGACAGCAGCTTTTGTGGACTGCATATTGATACTGCCCAGCAAGCACTTTTGTTTTATTTACTTTTCTAGTGACATGGCGTGCATGGCATGTAGTGGTTTAAATAACATTAAAGAAATTAAACATGAGGCTTCAACAGATGTTAGTCTGGTCATTACTGAGACTGTAGGTAGGCTAGAACCTATGAAAGATAAAGTCTAGCAAAATAAATACTAAGTATGCCTCTGGATAAAATGCACCGAAGTCCGCATTGAGTAAACCTTGCTTTCACTATTTCCATCAGGATTATGCAAGGGACAGCTCTTGGGCCAAATTTAGCTTGTAGTGCATGACATGGGATTTCTCAAATGAGCCAGGGGAAAGGTGAAGGGGAGACAGACTTTCAGGCATGTGAACTGTATGCACTTTCCCTGAATTTTTGAGTGCACTAGGAGTTGTTTAGAGCCACAGAGGTAAAAACACACACAGCTTTGCATGCGCAAAGCTGGGACTATTTTCTGGTCCAGCTGCTAGTCATTCCTCATGCATGCACATGCATAGATACCACCTTCATAATATGTTGTTGGTAATCTCCAGCAAGTAGCTCACTTATTTCTGTAGAACTGCTACTTCTGAAAAGAACATTTGGCCTGTAAGGTATGCACACTTTACTCTTAAAAAACAAACTTCTTGTCATTGTTTTCTGGTTTTGACAACATTAGGCCTGAGATTTACAAACTCCTTTCCCCAGGAGACAAGGTCTTTCATCCATATTCTTCATTATAGGAAATCACATTGGGGAATGTCTTTGAAACTCAGCAATGACAGCAAATAGTCTTCTGTAAAGCATGAAAAAATCTCTTCTTCATTTTGTTTTCTGTGTGCCTCTGGCAGGATTTGAGGAGTGTTGTGTTCCTCATGTGAGGCCTCCAGTGTGCATGGAATATTTTCTCTCCATCATGCAACTTTGTGGTCTATTTGACCTTCCTTAAATGAAGTATTGCTTCATTTGCAGATTAAAGGGAGAGTCTCAGTATCTTTGACATGGCATTTTTGGAGGAAACAGCAAAGGAAGAAATAGCACTGGTAAAAAGAAAATCAGGAAAAGGAAAAAATAAACTGATAAGCTGTTCGGGGAAGAAAGTTTGTCTGACAGGAGGGACAGTTGGTGAAGTTCACAAGAACAGAGTACTGGGGCATTTGCCCTCGATAAGTGTTCTGCTATATTACCCTATACCCCTTCTTAAACAGTGGCACTATTAGGCTTCAGATTTCTATTCATGTTCTCATCATGTTCTGGGAGTCTTTACACATGAAACCATGTTATGGTGTCTCCTGTTTTCAAACATGAATACCAGTTGCTATGAAGGATTATGACATGTAGCAGTATTCAGTATGTGCCAAGCAGCTGAAGCAGCTGTAATGTTATAATCAAGTGTCCTTGATGGTATATGTTTTATGCGTGTGAATGTGGCATGCTCCATGACAGTTAGTATGGCATGAAGCTCTATCCCAGAAAACCATTTTTTTCTCCCTCCTGAACTGAGGATGGGAGCCCCAGTTACTTGTTCAGCGAAGGATAAAGTGTTTGTGTGTGTGTGTGTCTTTGTTAAATGCTATCCACAACAGTCAACCAGCTACTATTAATTGCTGCATCCATCATGCAGAATTCCACATTTATTAAAGATACATGGGAAAATATTACATATTATACAGAGGTATGAGGAAAACAAAACAAAATAAAATCAGAAACCTCGAAAACAGCTATCATTGCTTTTCTCATGAAGCTGGTAGGGTCTACACAAAAAGCCGAAGACTTACCTGGCTCCAGAATCACTCAATTGAGGGTAGCACCTTGCTTAGATGTCAGCTCTTTGCTGTAATCTTTGCTTATTAGTTCTCTAAGAAGACAAATGTACTGAAAGAGCTCTAGAGTGTGAGTTAGACTGAAAATATATTGGAAAACACCTTCTCAACAGAACAGTGCATTTCTGTGCATGCATGCAGATAGTGCTCTCTATGAAGAATTATGCATATTTGTAGGCAAACTGGAACCTCCAAAACTCTAGAGGAATGATGAAACAACATATCCATAACCTGCTGATAGCCTTTCACTTAGTGTCCATCCTGTTAAGCTCACATATCTGGATTTTTCTGCTCTGCCTTATGAAATGAAGGAAATGACAAGAATTTAGATCCTTCTTTTGCTTCATTCAGCCTCATATTGGAAGAAATGTAGCCCTGGTTTTTCACTTCCTAGTGGCCTTGCTACATTCTGAAATTACAAAAAATCATTTCATTCCAAATTGAATTTCTTTCTAAGAATCAAGCAAACAAACAAAAATTTTTTTTGCTTCCTTAGAGACAAACTACTTTGTACTAGGGTATTCCAGCATCAAAGAAAAACTTACCTGTTACACCCACTAAATTCTGCAATGGCTACACTGAACCTTACTCCTTAAAAAAGATATGAAAGAAAAAAAAAAGCTCCTTCCCCTCACAGTATATAAAGAAAGAAACAAACAAAAAAAAAAAAAAAAAAAAAAAAAAGTTGAATTGCCTTTGAAAGTAGGGGATAAGTCTGTCTCTGAACAGATTAAAAATGCTTCTTATATTGTGTATGTTTTGTATTCTTTTTTTCTAGTAGGAAAAGAACAAACTTGAAATCTTGGTGTTTTTTCCTTAGTGCTGTGTGTTGCTTTTGTGTGTTATAATATTTGAATGTAATTACAGCAGTGCCAATTTGCCAAAGATGTCGATCATTTTTTTTGTTGTTGTTTTGGGCTTTATTTTGGGGAGCAAAGGGGACAGGGGTAGGGGAGTGGGACCACTGAGGTATGGCCAAAAGGGAAGGGCCTTTTGGATTTTTTTAAAAATTTGTTTGATCTTTTTCAATTCTTTTTCTTGTCAATACTGAAATTTGTGATTTTATTCTAAGTTAAATGGTTGACTGCAACACTTTTAATTTTTAGATTAGTTAAAGAAACATGCAATAAGATTGGCGTAGTTCAATATCTGTGTGTCTTTTCATGAGAGTGACTGTTACTTGTGGACATTTGATTTTATGTAACCTTTATGTGACATAATTATTTGTAAATATTTACCATAATTTTA